TGTATATGAATAATAAGAATATATGTATTAACTTATTATATTTCTGTATCTACCTAAGCCATCCATTGCAGCCATCCAATATCAGTAGGAGGGTACATCCATAAGTATATCCTAAGACTATAGCATGTCAGGAACTGACACATTCTATTCAGTTACCATAAGAATAATTGAACTTTTATCTTTAGAGAGTTAGATTTCCTGGTCCAAATAACTCTCGGGATATGATTAAGAAAGCAGTGTGCTTATTATGTCTGTAAATATTGTGTTTATTGACTTGGACAAGGACTGTGCCTTCCTATAAAAATTATTCACATCTTTTGTTCACTGAAAACATTTTCCAGCCAAGATTCGTATACAAATTAAATAATTATGACCTTCCCTGTCTAGTTTTATAATGAAGTGGTTGAAAGCCTAGGTAGATTTAGTTCTTACTATGTAATTTCTTCACTGGTGATGAATTTCATCTTTTTTGGTCCAATTACTTATTAATCAAAATATTCATCACACAAATAAAATCCATTTAGAGAATACATTGTTCTCTATCTTTGTGGCTAATATATAGAATCAATTCATCTTCCTGGAGGTAAAATTCCTTTCTAATCATTGTTAATTGCCCTGAAATGATTTTGTTCTTTTGTTCTTGGCGGGCTCTCTAATTACAGGTACAGAGTGTTTTAGTATTTTATAGCAGATGAAATCAGTGTTAATCTTTACAAGATGTTCAGGGTCATGTCTTAAAGTATCTATTATTGGAAGGAAAATATCGTATTTGTGAACTTTTGCTATATATCAGAAGCTGGTTATAAAGTGATTGGCCTGCTGTTGTCTTTTACTTCATTTTTTATGTATTTTGATATTATAACTTAAGAAAATTTGAGGGTTGGATTATTGTTTTATGTAATTTTAGATCTAGGAAGACCCGAGGCCAGCTCTTTGACTTGATGAGGAGAAATTTGACTGTAGGTTGTACAAGTTCCATGATGGCAAGAGTTGGTTTATTGTGTCCACTGCTGTTTCTCCACTGTGGGGTACAGCTCCAGGCACATGGCAAGTATACCCACAAAAATGTTGAGTGAATCAGTGTTCAACGGCATTCAATTACTAAATGAGAGTCATGGCACAAGGACCTAGATTCTCTTACTTTTTCTCTAGAAATCTAATCATCTTGAATATTATGAAGTTATAGAGAATGGCTATTGATCAAACTCTTTCTGGCTAGGAAAACTGAGAAGATTTAAGAACAGAGTGATTACTTAAAATTTGGTTATTTTTTGAAAATATTTATTTGTGCCCATTATATGCTTGGCCCTGTACTAGGCACTGGAGATACCAAGTAGTCTATTTAACCAAATAGCATATTTATATCATGCAGCTTAAAGTCTAATAGGGAAAACCAAAGATTCAAAGAGTGTATTACAGTGATACGGTCCATAAGTGGAATATGTGGAGAGAGGTGACAACTGATGCTAACTATATTAACATAGACTTTTCAGGGATAGCCTGAGTTTTAAAGGATGAGTAGGTCTTGTTTGTACAGATGAGGAGAAAAGGGCATCTGTGATGACAGCAGGGACATGTCTGTATTAAACAGTTCTCTAGAACTGGCATGGGTGGAAATAAGGTGATAAATTCAAAGAGATGGATAAGCAAGCAGGTACCAAATCCTTAAAGATTGTGCCAAGCTTTAGAGCTTGTGCTTCATTCTAAGCCACAGTGAGACATGAAGTCCTCTTACAAGCAGAAATCCTTCAAATCTAAAACACCAAAACTAGGGAGATGGTTCACTGTGCTCCATCTTCAATATCTGTAAAATGACAGTATAATAGTGCCAACCTCTTTGGGATTGCCAATATTAAATTATACAACATGTATGAAGCATTTGGCATTGTACTTGGCACCTTGTAACTGCTTAATAAATATCAGCCATCACAACTATCATAATTTTATTATAACAATTATTTCTAATGAGAGAAATTAGCATGAGCTAATATAGGACGGTGACTTAGAACTTGCTTAAAACATGTTGCCTTCTGGGTTTAGTTGTAGTGTCAGAGTGCATATTATGTACTTTTTCATGTTTTCTAAAACTTTGTATTTGATAAGCAATCTGCAAAAAAATAAGTAGTTTTTACATAGCCTCACAATTGCACACTTATGGGAGATTTCTTTTTCAAGGCCAATGCAAGAGACAGGCCCCACATCCACCTTATAGGCTTGTTGGGGTTCATCAAATTTTTATGGAAGTTGGATATAGTGCTTCAAGGGTAAAATTTAACACCATATTAGAGACATATCACCATTGAATCTGAGAGTTCTTTTTAAATTTAATTTTCATTTGACTGCAAAGGAGTGTTTTGAATGAACTAATTTAAGGGGGGGCTTGTTTGTTTTCAACAAGAAGACTTAAATGAAATTATACATGTGTACAAAGGACTGGAATATAGCTCAGTGGTGTGTCACTTTCCTAGCTTGCTCAAAGCCCTGGGTTCTATCCCTGTTACTATCAAAAAAAAAGAAAAAAGTGTAAGAAGATCTCAAATGTTTCCTTATATGTATCCACATAGATAATTTTAATTATTATCGTTTGTACGGTTCACTGAATGACATTGGATTGGTCTTTGAAAAGTTCCATTAGGATTCTAATGGAACTTAACTTGAAAAATTCAGATTTGAATATTGCAACCAGTAATTTATTAGGCATTTTGGCCAACATGAACTCAGTATGTGGCTTTCCATAGAATAACTTTAGCTTCTACATCTGTGAAATGGATGTGGTAGCACAGACCCATGCAGATACTGCCCTTAAATAGTGTCTCATGGACAGGATGTTCTTGCCACTGGTGACT